GATAGAAATATCAATGATGAGAGAATCATTGATTGGCTGCCTCCTGCATGCCCCCTCTGTTGGGGACCAAGCCCACAATCTGGGCACGTGCCCTGACTAGGAATGGAACCATGACTTCCTCCTGGTTCATAGGTCAGTGTTTAACCATTGGGCCAAATTGGTCAGGCAGATATTGAGCAACTTTTAATTAGTATTGTTTTATAGAATAGATTGTCTGTAAATTGTCTTTTTTCCATTTAACAATTATGTGGTGGCTAGAGCTGGAGCCTGGGTTCTCTACACAGAAACTGGTGTGGGTCTTTACAAGATGTCAGTGATTCCTGATGGGGAGACTTAGTGAATACAGTCTCTTTCCGGAGATCTGGGGTGAGATTGGTCTTAGAAATGGCATCAAAGGTGGCCTAGGCGAAGTTGTCCAGGGTGGCAATGCAGCCCCTGGCAGAGGTATAGCAGTTGTCAATACCAGACATCATCAGCAACATTGTAGGCACAGGGGCCGAGACAGTGCCAGTAGCCCTGAGGGCAGGGATGAGGCGCACCAGCACAGATCCTCAGCAGCCAGTCACCTTGCAAGGAGCAGTGTGGGGCTTGCTGACCCTCTTTCCCAGGAGCCTGCCGCAGGGGGACAATAGAGTTTGGCCAGCGTAATGGCTCCACGGATGGCAGTGGCTACTTCCTTTGAGCACTTAACATCCAGACCAACAGGTCCATGTGCAACCAATGGCAACTAATGACTTGAACCGGGTCCTCTGGCCAGCACGCCTCAGGCACAATTTTTAAGACCTTATCCTTGAAGGATACCCCCAAGAAAAAGTCAGCGATCTGATTCCTTGACGGGCCAGGAGAATAGAGAGATTTCCTTTAGGGGTTTGATCTTCATGTCCTTGACCAGGCAGCCCAGCTTGGTGTCAGGGATCCACGCCTTGCCTCTGCGACCTTCACGGCCTCGGCCCCAGCCCCTGCCCCAACCCCGGCTGCGATGCCGCTGCCAAATCCTCCTCGGAAGCCTCCGGCCTCCTGTTCCCGGGCCTCCCCCAGCACCGCGCTACGCGCCATTTGGTGTTTTGTTGGAAAACTGAATTTGAGTTTTGCCATTAAACTTTCTTCCTGGTTCTAATTGAGATAATGAAAAGGTATAGATTTTTCTAACATTTCTCCATCACTAAAATGATGCCAATTTGCCATCAATGCCTATTCCCACCCCCAGCTGTAGGCAGTCATTTCTTAAGTGGAGTCATTCAAGTTGCAGTTTTTGTGTCAGATTTCCTTGACCTAGCATCATGTTTTCAACATCTGTCTTAAATGTATCAGTAATTTGTTCCTCTTTCTTGTTGAATGGTATTTAATTATATGGCTATGCAACATTTTGTTCATCTGTTCACCAGGTGGATTATGGATTAATACCACTTTTTGGCTATTGCGAATACTGTTCACTTTTTGCCAGCGGGCAGATGATTCTTTAGGATAAGATACACAAGAGTAATTTTTAAAAAATTAAATCCTCACCTAAAGCTATTTAATTGATTTGAGAAAAAGAGAGAGAGAAAGAGAGACCGAGAGAGAGAGAGAGAGAGAGAGAGAGAGAGAGAGAGAGAGAGAGCGCTTGCACGCGAACGTGAGCACATCAATCCATTGCTTCTTGTACACATCTCGAACCCACAACCTGAGTAGGTGCCCTGACCAGGATTCAAATCTGACGCCTTTGGGTGTGTTTATAGGATGACACTCCAACTGAGCAACGCTGGCCAGCCTGGAGTGAGTGATTTTGACCTTTCAGTTGTTAATCATAAACTTAGTGTTTCAGTTTGCCCTTTTGTAAAAGGAATGGTTTAATGAATATTATATAAGTGACCTTACCCAGTTCTGTTTCCTTATCTGCAAAGTAGGGATATTTATAGCTGTGGTATGTGGCTCTAGGTGTTGTTGTGAGGGTTAAATAAGATAAAAAGGGAATACAGCCGAAACCGGTTAGGCTCAGTGGATAGAGCATCGGCCTGCAGACTGAAAGGTCCCGGGTTCGATTCTGGTCAAGGGCACATCCCCAGTAGGGGGTGTGCAAGAGGCAGCTGATAGATGACTCTCTCTCATCGATGTTTCTAACTCTCTATCCCTTTCTCTTCCTCTCTGTAAAAAATCAATAAAATATATTTTTAAAAAAGGGGGAATATAGCAAGATAACAGTTGCTTTTCGCCTTTGCCGTCTCTGGGAAAGGGACGAGGGTGTGGGGGGTGAGAAAGGCTGCTTATAGAATCCCCCTTCTCTGGGCAGATTGGCGGGAACAAAGTCCTGGGCCCGGGGGTTCGAGGCTGAGGAGCTCCGCTGTTGGAGGGCTCGGACTGGGCCTTTGAGGGAGGGGAGTAGGAGGCTCGGAGCCCACGGGGGCGGGCTTACTGCTGGCTGCTGGGGTGCAGTAAGAGGATGGACAGGTCAGCTGGAAGCATGCAGGCATGTCTGAAAGGCCTTGTGGGAAATCGGATCTTTGTTTAATCCCTTGGCCAGCTGTGGATGTTTTGGTGCCTGATCTCATGTTTATAAGCTCCATGGGAATGAGAGAGGTTTCAGAGTTTAAGGTCTTTGCTGTATTTAACCCACAATGTTTTTCCTTTGGGCTCCTCAGTTCTTTAAAATTCATTCAATAAGCTGCCAGGGATTAAAATCTGGAGATGTGGCCACACTCGCCTTCACCCCCCCACAGAGTCACGTGACCCGAGCTTTGAGAGGGTCCAGGTGCCCACGGTCCCCTGCTCCCTTTGACTGCTGGTCTCTTTGCTTGGGCTGCGGCCGCCATTGGTCCAGAGCGGCGTGTCCACCGGGAGCCACGAGCCTCCTGTGGTTGAGTTCAGGTGGTGACATTAAGTACAGTTTAGTTCTGCATCCACTCATGCTAGCCACGCTGCAGTTGCTCAGTAGTAACTTCCTTCCTCTCTGTAAAAAAATCAATAAAATATATATTTTAAAAAAAAAGTTCTTTCCAAATGCAATATTATACACACACACACATATTTCAAAATATATTTTTATTGATTTCAGAGAGGAAGAGGAAGGGGGAGAGAGAGAGAGAGAGAGAGAGAAACATCAGTGATGAGAAAATCATTGATAGGCTGCCTTCTGCACACTGGGGATCGAGCCTGCAACCCAGGCAAGTGCCCTGACCAGAAATCGAATCATTGGCTTCCTGGTTCATAGGTTGATGCTCAGCCATTGAGCTACCCAGCCAGGCAACAATATTATATTAGTTTCATGTGTACAACATAACATAGTAATTAGACACATTATTTAGGAAGTGATTAGCCCAGTAAGACTAGTGCCCATCTGACACTATACATAGTTATTACAGAATTATTGACTATATTTTCTTTTTTAAAAAAATACGTATTTTTATTGATTTCAGAGAGGAAGGGAGAGGGAGAGAGAGATAGAAACATCAGTGATGAGAGAGAATCACCGATCGACTGCCTCCTGCACACTCCACATGGGGGATCAAGCCTACAACCCAGGCATATGCCCCAACCAGGAATCTCCTGGTTCATAGATTGACACTCAACCACTGAGCCTCGCTATTTCCTGTGTTTACATCCCCGTGACAGTTTTACAAATGGCAATTTATTTCTTCTTCATCCCTTCACCTTTTTCACTTATCCCCCCTACCTCTCTCTCATCTGGCAACCAACAGTTTGTTCTCTGTATATATATGATTTTGTTTCTGTTTTATTAGGTTTCACAAAATAAATGAAATCATTTGTCTTTCTGACTTATTTCAGTTAGCATAATACGCTCTAGAGCAGTGTTTCCCAAACTTTTGGCATATGTGTACCCCTTCTATAATTTTCGTAACGCTGAGTGCCCCTCGTACTCATGAGAACATAGAATTAGGCGCAGCTAAGCAGGGTGCAGTGCTATCCCCACCAAACTCCGGTTCAACGCATACCCCCACCAAACTCTTCCCGTACCCCTGGGGGTACGTGTACCACACTTTGGGAAACACCGCTCTAATACATGATGTTGAAGTACAAAGGCCTATGTGCATATTTTGAAGTGAACACGGAGCCTACAAACTGGGTTAAGTATAAGAAAGTAAAACAGATAATGAAATTTGAGATGCCAACTAAAATACTCAGAGCAGTCTCACAGATGGTGGTGGAGGGGTCGAGCAAAAAGGGGAAAAAAAATCCACGGGTGGGACCTGTCACCTCAAAAATTAAAAGGTTAAAACAAGCTCTCTTGAAGTGAAGTGGGCGGTGCCTCGTCAGTGTGGCCGGCAGGTGGCACACGCGGCGGTGCTGCAGCAGGAGTGATGCTGAGTCTCAGCGTGCTAGAGGCGGCCAGTTGGAAAGCGGGTTTGTAAGTTCCAAAAATTGCACCGGGGCGAGGCAGAGCCCGCCTGATGCGAATGTGTTGTTCAGGCGTTAGCAGTACTGCCCTCACTACACGTTCATTGGACAGTAGCGCAACCCCAAGAGAAGGATGGTTGCCAGTGGCGATAGGTTGCGCCGCTGGCAGTGCTGGCCAATACCTGATTGGGTTGTGGTGACTGACAGGCAAGTTCCGGCCTCGCCGCGTGTTAGTGCACGTAAGTTGACTACAATTCCCGAAGCAAACTACCAACTCCTTGTTTTCTGAGGCTTTTGCGGGAGCAAAGCGGCCGCTTGGTTTTACCCAGAAGGCCACGCGCCAGCCGCGGACAATTTGCATGTGCGCTTCGCTGGGGCGGGGCCAGCAAGGGGCGGAGCTGCGTCCTATTCTCCCACTCCCGGCTCTCGGGACCTGTAGCCAGCCGGGGTGGAGCAGCTTTTTGATTCCTGTTAAAGCGGAACGGCTCTGTTTGTACGAGGGCAGCCCTCCTCTTGGTGACCAGTGTAATCCTGCCCGGCGGCACGCGCTCTCGGGGCCCCGGGGCAGCGCTTGAGCCAGAAATGTGCGGGCGCCCTGGGAGCTGCGGGGCGAGGGCCCAGGCCTGGCCGGCTGCTCACGGCCTCTCGGTGTTTCCCATTCATTGCAGGTGGCTCTCCTGGGCATGGACATCCTATCCGCGCTAGTCACCCGGCTGCAGGATCGGTTCAAGGCTCAGATCGGCACAGGTGAGCTGTGGGCAAGTGTGGGCGGGTCCCCAGACGCTCCTCCCTCTGGCCGCCAGTCTCCCCCAATCCTGCAGTTAGCCGCGCCCAACCGCCCCGCCGGCGCCCTTCTCCCCTCCCACTCCTCAGCCATATCCCTTAGCCTCAGCTTCCCACTGCCCTCCATTTGTGTGCTTCCAGCTTTGGTGTTCTAACACGAGGTGTGACTGCTAATTCTTTTATTTCTTGTACAAATTAACTGTCCTAATTTAGCGCTGGCCAGGTCCTGCTGGGCCTGACCCCCCCTGAGAGCAGTCCTTCCCTCCAGCATTCCTGCAGCTGCCAGCACCCTGTGCCTCCAGGTGGTGGGACTGCTGTCACCGCTCACTCTGCTATGTCCCTCAAGCGGGAATTAAATGGTCACTCTTACTTTGAAGGGAAAACAATATGTCAGTAAAATGAAATGAAAATAACCACAGGTTTTATAGATCTAGAGATAATTTTGTCATCTCTAAATTCCTGACCTCTGCGGTTTTATGACAATGTGAGCACCAAGCAGATCTGTGTGTGCAAGATTTCTCATAGGTGCCTGTGTCTGTTAGTCTACATGTATGTTACTTGCTGTTAACTTTCCGGTTAGTGTACTCCTGTGGATACGGTTGAGCTCTTTTCCCATTCAAATAAAACCCCCTTAATTTTAAGAAATTCAGCATTTTAATAGTGTCTCATTTTCCTCCTAAATTAGCTGAGTTGGTCAGGAATATCTTTTGTAAAAGAAAGGTTCATCTTCATAGCCTCTTAGAAGAACCTGACCTCTGGGATGCAAGTGCCTGTGAGCACCGGCCCGTGGCCGCACCGGCCCGTGGCGGAGGCTGGGAGGACAGGTGCGCTCCCTGCAGGGTGGGGGTCAGCACGCAGGTGTCTTACGTAAAATTAACGCAGAGACAAAGGGTAGATTGAGCCCTAGGTGTCTGCCCCTGCCCCCAAGGAAATGTGCTGGTGCCCTCCTCTCTTACCCGGATTTCCTTTTGAATCGACTCTCTCCTGCTAGTGTCTGCCGTTGACATCTGTTTTAATATCTGACAGCATAAAGATGTGGGGAGGTGGCTGGAGGAAGGTGTGAATAAGAAGACACATATACCCAAGCAAAAAGGATTCTGCTGACTCTCAGAGTAGTTCCCTTGGACCTGAGCAGGGAGAATAGTGGGGAATGGTGGTTTTAGAAGATGGAACTCATTTCAGCTAGGATTTGTCTTCCCAGTTAATTGAAATATCAACAGTTGGTGACACCTCCCCATCCCCAACAGGTGTTCATTTGATCACTTGCATTTTGATTTCCAGTGCTGCCGAGTTTAATAGACAGACTGGGAGACGCTAAGGACTCCGTGCGGGAGCAAGACCAGACTTTGCTGCTAAAGATCATGGATCAAGCTGCTAACCCCCAGGTAGGACGCTTGGTGGCCCGCAGCAGGCCGGTGCTCCCTCACATCGGGGGTTACTCCACACAGAAAGACGATTTATTTTAATCAGGTGTTTCAGATGGAAATTTTCATAGCTCTCCCCACCCCATATTTGAAGAAATAATAAATAGCAAAGCATGTATTTTGACTAAATTAGTGGACTTAACATGGGATTTGAGTGCTTGATTTAATCCATAAACTTGAGCTCATCTATTTAATTGGTTCTGTATTTCTTTGAAAAGAGCAGTTATGATGTCTGGGTGTTAGGAGGCCTGGCTGGTCTGTCTGCTAGTGAGCTGGGGCTGCATTGCTGGGGAAGGGGCATGTTATCAGAAAAGTTCTTCTAGGGAAGGCGAGAACTAGACCGGCCTTCACAGATGAGCAGGTGGTGGGCTCTGGGGCCAGAGAGGCTGGTCCAGGCAGGAGAGCAGTGTGAGTGCATCATCTTGGAAGCCACCTGATCTTTCTCGGCCTCCCTTTCCTTACTCATGAAATAGGGACAGCCATACCTCCTTTTGGGGTAGGGAGAGTGAAATACCATCATATGAAGAAATGTGTTTGGAAGAAATTTAACTTGATGTACAAGTAGTCACCACTTTTCAGTGTGTTCGACTTCAGATGACTAAATGGGTGGTCGTGGCTGGAACCGATTGGCACCTGTTGAGAGTCCCTCTTTCCTGGGCCCCGTGTTAAACCAGAGGCTGAGGAGCCTCACCCCCTTCTCACCCGTCCTTTGCTGCCCGCAGTACGTGTGGGACCGGATGCTGGGAGGCTTCAAGCACAAGAACTTCCGGACTCGGGAGGGCACGTGTGTCTGCCTCATTGCCACCCTCAATGCGTAAGTCTGGTCGGGGCCTGAGGGTTTTCTTGGCTGAGCTTTTCCATTAACGTTTTATTTTGAAAGAAGCTGTAGAGGAATGTATTGGGAATGTCATGCAAACCCCCTCTCCTTCCTTCCCCCAGGGTTATCATCTTGCCTGTGCAATGACGACACAGGAAGTTAATATTGATATGGAGCTTATTCACATTCCTCCAGTCACACGCATGTGAGTGCAGTTCTGCACAGTTCTGTCATGTGTGTAGTTCCATGTGACTACCACCACTGTCAGGGTACAAACCTGTGCGTCACCGCAGGCTTCCTCACTTTGCCTCTTTGTAGTTAGCTCCTGACCGCTGGCAGCCACTAGTCTGTTCTTCACCTTATGGCTTTATTCCAAGAATGTCATGTAGATGGAGTCATACATAGTGTAACCCTTTGAGACTGGCTTTCATTCCACTTGAGGTTGAATATATGTTGCGTAAACAATAGTTCATTTCTTTTTATTGCTGAGTAGAATTCCATGGCATAGACTCTCAGGATTTGTTTAACCACTCAGCTGTTGAAGGACATTTGACTCATTCCCAGTTTTTGCTATTACAAAGAAAGCTGCTATGAACACTTCACAAAGTTTGTTTCAGCATCAGCTTTCGTTTTTCTTGGGTCAGTGCTCAAGAGTGCAATGGCTGAGCACTTGGTAAGTTTGTTTTTAGTTTTTTTTAAATAACTTTCTCCCCTTTGCACGACTGACGTTGTCCCCACTCCCCAGAGTGCTGCAGTACCAGGCAGGTGCGAGGTGTGGAGGAGCGAGCTCCTAGGCCATCTCTGCTCCAAAAACCCACTCAGTACGCCGTCCTCGGACAGAGACCATGTCCGGTGTTAAACTGAAGGCTGAGTGATCATTTTTAGTTTTAAAAGAAACTGCCAAACCGTTTTCCTGAGTTGTCTGTACCAGTTTACATTCCCACCAGCAGTGTGTAAATGAATCAATTCATCACATCCCTGCTAGCATCGAATGTTATCACTATTTTAATTGTAGCCATTTTGATATGTGTGTGGTGATATCTCACGGTGTAAATTTGTATTTACTTAATGACTGGTGATGTATTTTTCATGTGCTTATTTGTAGGAAAGGCTTTTTTAAAATTGAAATTAAAATTACAAACCAGCTTTTCTGATTGTTACAGAAAATTTAAATAAAGAAAATGATGATTACCCATAATTCTAGCACCTTCAGATAATCACTGTTAAATGTGGTGTATTTTATTCCAGCCTCTACAGTTAGATTATTCTTCAAAGCAAAATTGGGATTATGACATTTCTGTCACCATGTAAATTTCCCCCCTCCTGAGTTGTTAGCCTTTTAGTGCCATTCCATTTGGCCATATGTATGGGGAACGTTTAGACAGTGTTTCAGGCCATTGATTGTAATAGTTTCCTGTCTGAGAGTGTATGCTGAGGAGGCACCCAGATCGCCGGAGCTGGCTGTGTTCGCAGAGGATGTCTGTGCCAGGGCGTGCGAGGTGGGCCCTGAGCACACGCTCTCCACAGCCGGGCTGCTCGCATCCTCTGCAGCCACTCATCCATCTCATCCAGCTCTTCTCACCTGAGTGCCAGCTGTAGCATCAAGCTGGGCATTTTCGGTGAGGTGTGCCGGCTGGGCAGAGAGGAACCATCACATGACAGAACAGTAGCGTAGACACAGCCCTGTGAGAGGCGAGCGCTGGGAAAGGCTGGGGCTTGGCTTGGCCCAGCTTGGGGCCAGGCGGAGAGAGCCGAGTGCCAGGGCGAGGACGGCCGTGGGAGGCACTCACGGTTCTGAACTCAGTGCCAAGGGGCGCCACACCCCTTTATTTTGGATCCAGATGGGAAAGAGGGGGAGAAGATGCCAGATGAGAGCCTGGTGTGAGGGGCGGCAGGCCCGGGCACGAAGGGTACAGGTGAGTGCGTGCAGAGGCTTCTGCTGTTTCTTTCTCCCCAGTGATAAAACTCTCCTTTCGTTTTCAGCTCTGGAGCGCACACTTTGACACTAAGCAAGATTGTGCCACATATATGTAATTTACTTGGCGATCCAAATAGCCAGGTGAGTGTTTTCCATGGGAATGGTCGTTGGTTAGACAGCTAATATGCTTGTTGGTGTTCTCTGTGTACGTGATGGGTGGGTGGGACTCTCTTCATCTTCATAGAACTCTGATGGTTGTGTGAGATAATGAGCCATAATGTTTATAAGATGCCACTGGTAAATGTGGCTGCTCTGCCCTCTTTCCCTGGGGGCTGAGACTTCATGAGCCTGGAAAGGATGTCCTCCAGCCCAGCCCCCAGGATCCCGCCACTCTGGCTCCGGCTCTACGGCTGGGAGGGGTGGGCCTGGGGGAGGATGCCCAACTCGGATTGGGAGGGGATTGACCGGAAATGCGAGGGGACTTCTCCAAGCCTGGATCCATGGTTCATGGTTTGCTTTGGGTAGTGGCCATATTGGTGTGTACACCTGTGAAAAACGCCTCGAACCCTGACAGCTGTAGCTATTTTATATACATTTTACCTAAATTAAAAAACAAAACAAAACATGAAAACGAGGCCCCAGACCTGAGCTGAAGGAGGGCGGGAGGGGTAACCTGTGGCTGGTGCCGCCTCCCCGGGCTGGCAGGCCTGGCCTCCTGCAGGTCTCGCTGGGCCGCCCCGTCCACGGCCAAGTCCTCTGGTCCGCATCCGCTCCTGCAGGCTGCTAAGAAAACATTTCAGAATTGAAAATAGGAAAACAGGAACACAAACTTACCAAGGATACATTTGTACAATAAACAGGCCTTCATTTTATTTATATTTAAAAAATTTTTTTGTTTATTGATTTATTTGAGAGAGGGAGGAAAAGAAGAAAGAGAGAGAGGTTTGTCATTCCACTTATTTCTGCATTCACTGGTTGATTCTTTATGTGCCCTGACTGGGGAATCGAACCTGCAACTTTGGCATAGGGGTATGATGCTCTGACCAAGTGAACTCCCAGCCGGGGCCCAACAGGCCTTCGTTTATGATTGCAAAGCCCCTCCAGAGAGCCTACGCCGGACTTTCCCGCTTCCACAGCTCCTGGGTCCCTCCCGTTCATTGTCTTCCCCTTTCTTTCTTCTCAGCCCTGAACCCCAGTTGCATTTTCGCACCCTCTCGCCTGCTGCTCTGGCCTGCTGCTCTGCCGCCTTTCTTTCCGGCCTGGTGTCTTGGCTCGCTGCCCCACTGTGTGGTCTCCCTGGCTGGCGCCTACTTCTCTCCACTCAGCTCTTATCTAGCCTCATTGAAAATAGTTAAAATACAAATACAGTTGTTAGATATTTTTATTTATGGAATCATACTGCATGTTTAGCATTAATTTAAAAATCCTAAGTTATCAAATGAGTTTTTTGGCCCCTTCCCCTTTTTGATTCCTGTGGAAAAGGCCTTTGCAGAGGCAGCACTTGGAGGGCCCTGCTGCGGTGCCCCCTGGTGGAGAGAAAGCCACTGGCTCGTTGAACTTGTCCCTAATGCAGTGGCTTCCTCAGCCACTTGATGTGAATAGTCCCGCTGGGCCCTCGGGAGATGGACGTTTCTGGTAAATGAGGCTGTGCTCCCTGGGCAGCACTTAGCGTCGGCAGAGTCAGTTCCAGACTGAGTGCTCAGGGCCATGTGCTCACACCTGCCTCCCGGGGGTTGGGCTGCATGTACGAGTGCGCAAGCGCAGAAGCACACGCAGCGCGCACCCAGCACCCCTGCCAGGAAACTTCCCCGCCGCTCCTCGGATCCTGTCCACATGGCCGTGCCTCCTCCACCTGAGGCGCTTTCTTCCATTGGTTTTCTCAGAGTGGAAGTGGGGGGGACAGAGAGGGAGACACCAATGTGAGAGGGACACATCGGTTGGTTGCCTCCCACATGCACTTGGACCAGACACCAGACATTGAGCCCAACATGTGCCCTTGACCGGAATGGACTCGAAGACTCCCTGGGTTTGGCCAACGCTCTAACCATTGAGCAACCGGCTAGGGCCTGCCTTTAACTTTTTCATTAGTCTTTCCTGCTAGTCTCTGGCCCTTGAGGGTCAGGACTGTAACTCCTCCTCTTCCTTGTCCCAGGACTGCCATCCAGGAGTGTGAGGGCTCAGGAGACACCCACAGCTGGGTGGATGACTTGTCCTTCTCAGCTGTTGTCTCCGGCCAGAGGACAGTGCTGTCTGGGCAGTGCTGCCCCGTGCTCCGGGCCTCCACCTCTCCCCCGGGGTTCCTGGCTCTGCAGGAGGCTGCTGACGCTGGTGTGGACTCTGGATACCCCTCCCCATGAGGCCGCAAGCTTGTCTGGGTGTTGGTCTGAGGGCAGAGTGACTCGCAGGGGGAAGCCCTCTGGAGCTCCTCGGAGTGGCCGCAGGTAGATGTGGAGTGTTGCTTAGTATGCTTTTGGCTCCAAGTATCATTTCAATTCAAAATGGTTGGAGCGGCAGGGAGAACGCATTGTCCTGCATATTGAGGAGGGGCTCAGGTTTGTAGATGAACAATTATTTCCCAGAGACCGGCTCAGTCCAAGGGCTTTGTCCTTTGCAGCTGTCCCCAAGGCCACAGCCAGGCCCAGCCCAGGCCCTGCCCAGTGCCTGCACACTCTGCCCGTCTGGTTGACGGAAGCCTGGTGCTTCCTGTGTGCTCCTGCTTAGCTCTCCTGTACCGAAAGCTGCCAGCTGCATGGACACACTGAGAATGAGTGCCTTTCAGGTGCTTCTGCCGCTGATGAGACAGGGCCAGTTTAGTTCCATCTGTGTTTCCTTCTCCAGCCAGTATTTTGAAGCAAATTTTAGCATTTCATTTAATTCTTAAAAAAAAAATGTTTTTATTGATTTCATAGAGGAAGGAGAGGGGCAGAGAGGTAGAAACATCAATAATAAGAGAGAATCATTGATTGGCCACCTCCTTCACACCCTCTACTGGCATGTGCCCTGATCAGGAATTCAAACGTGACCTCCTGGTTTATAGGTTGATGCTCAACCATTGAGCCACACATGTCGTGCTCATTTAATTCTTAAATATGTAAGAGATAAGATTCTTTTCAAACATAACCTTAATACTGTATTCCCTCCTGTCCACCAGGAACGGCTGGTTCTCATGTTATCATGTGCCCCGTCAGCGACCCCTTTCCCTCAGTGTCGCGTGTTTTTGGTGTGTCCTGCATTTCTCTTTGCAAGGGCGAAGACACAGCTCCTGAGTTCCCTGCAGCCCCTCACCCCTCAGGTTTCCTGTGGAGAACCCCATCCCTTCCCTGGGTTACACTGATATTTTACCTCCTGAGCTGAGGACAGGGTTTCCTTCCCGGAGCGCAGTTTGACAGGGGCTCCGTCAAAGGCAGCGTGCTGATGTCACACACCATAGGAAGTCTGTTCTGGATAAGGACTCCAATGCGCATCTCTGAGTGTCTGAGGACTGTTGGTCTCAGCACTCCCTGTGGCCGGACCTGTACCTTGCCCAGGGCTGCAGGCCCTGGCAGTGTGCGCAGTACGCTCGAGGCCCCGGGCAGTCTGTGGGGCGGGAGGGGGGGGGAGGGGGGAGAGTGGCATCCGTTCTCCAAGGCAGGCTGGCTGGGCTGGGCTGTTTGCCCAGGCGAGGGTAGGTGTGCTTCCCATCAGCTTACCGCACCTTTCCTTTCTCTGGAGCTGAAGCCCTCCCTTAAGCTGTAAGACTCACAGGGTTCTCTATTTTGACACCCTCAGTGGAAGGCAGTGTTCTAAGGGGAGAAGGATGTGGGCCTGCATTCAGGCGGCAGCCAGCCCCCACCCTACCGGTCACCTGCTGTGGGCCCAGCAGGTGGCTGGCCTCACTGCCCCAAACCCGGTCCACAGAGGCCTTGTGAGGATGGCTGCAGAGGCAAAGACCTCAGATTCTGTAAAGCATTCAACTCAGGCCCGGCAGGTAGTGCTGAACATGTGGGGCTCTTGTCTTGTGCGGTCCCACTGGCCTGAAATGTTAGGGTTCCTTCTTGTGGTGAGTTTGAGGTAGAAAGAAATACACTGTTTTCTGAACATTTGAAAGTGTCTTATAAACATGATATTAGTCCTCATGCTTTATACTGTGCATCTCCTGACAATAGGACATTTTCTTATATAAGCACTAGTGACCTGGTACACGGATTTGTGCACATTGAAAGGAAATTAATTGGAAGGAATATTTTAATATCACTATTCGCCCTTTCTCTATAATAAAAGAGTCAACCAAATTCACGATCGATAGTGACACACGTGTGATTTGTGCCAGCGAGAGCTTTGTACGTATTGCACATGTACGAGTCAACTTAGCCTTTTATAGATATAGAATAAACTTGCTTAATTAGACCTGCTTTCTGATGTAGCTAAACTTTTTCCAGCCCAGTGAAGGACCCCAACTTATCTTTAAGATAATTGTCAGCAACACAGCAGTAACTTATCAACATGAATCAGATTATTATTATAGATTACGCAGGGAGAACAAAGGGTAAAATATTTAACTGCCGCAGTGTTTTACTATATTCTGCGCAGAGAGAAAAGCTGAGGTCATTTTCAAGGTCCACCATTTCTTCTTTCCTCTTGGGTCAACTTTCTAAGCTTTCCAAATCTCCATTTCCCTGCTAATGAAAAGAAAATAGGATTCCACTGAGTTTCCTGTCTACCTACTCCTGTGACTATCAAAGGACTTCTGTGAGATCAGATGAGATGAGGCATGGGAAAAGCTTCACAGACATTTAAAGTGTGAAATGTTTGCACCTGGCTATAAAGCAAGTTGTGTTCCTGGGCTGAAGAAACTGCAGGGAGGCTAGGCACTGCCAGGAGAGGAAGCCGGTGTTGCTATGTGACGTTATTACCTGGCGCCCTCAGTGGCTGTTTCCGGGCTGGGGTGTGGGCTGCATTTTGCGCCATGGGTTCTCAGCAGTGTTGGCTGTGATGTGATGGGCTGTCACTGCAGAGTGGTGGCAAGGCCTGTCTCACTTGGGAGAAGCTGAGTGTTGCTTTGTGGGTGCCAGGTCTGTGGTGCCATTTCTCTGTGCACAGCATGGCAACTCCTGTGTTGAGTGCCTACCCTTGGTGGTCAGTGCATGTTATAGCAACCTGTCAGACCCTTGGACACGTAACACATTAGCCTTTTATATATATAGATAACTCATTTTCACATTAAAATAATTTAACATTGATGTAATGGTAATGTGTGATAGTTCATACTTGAGTTTCCCTAGTTTCTTTTTTTTATTTCATTCTGTCCTTTAGCCTTATTTATTGCTGCCTCCTCCATTCATATCCGTGTTTGCCCTGGCTGCTTACTTGTTCTTCCCAAGGCTCACGCCCTGCGCTCTACTTCTAGGCCCTCGCTTGGCAGCTGCCTCATTGGTCCTTTCCTGGTAAAATGCACATCCAGGCACATTTCAGTGGTTCCTTCCTCTCCCAGAAAACATTCTTGGTGTCTTGTGGTGTGCTGTTCCCTCCCTAAACTCCCCGCTCTTTGTACTCCTGCATAAAATGCTTTTTATGACAGCCTCTCTGGTGTTCAATGTAGAATATATGGAATTTTCCCCATTTCCTTTCTAGAACCATGAATGTTTTTCCCATTTAAAAAAAATATATTTTATTGATTTCTTTACAGAGAGGAAGAGAGAGGGATAGAAAGCTAGAAACATCGATGAGAGAGAGACATCGATCAGCTGCCTCTTGCACACCCCCTATTGGGATATGCCCGCAACCAAGATACATGCCCTTGACCGGAATCGAACCCGGGACCCTTAAGTCCCCAAGCCGACGCTCTATCCATTGAGCCAAACCGGTCTTGGCTTTTTTTTCCATTTTTAATTTATGAGCTTCTTGAGTACAGGGCTGTGCTGCCCATTTTCCTTACTCACTAAGTGTTTGACCCAAATCCAGGGTACTTTACATGGTGTTTTATTGTCAGTGTAATTTATTTATTTGTATTATTTTCTAATTTGGAAAGATAACCTGAAATTTTTAGTTTTCTGACATCATCTTAAAGAATGAAAAAAAACTAAGGGATATAGACTGGAATATTTATATAGGGATAGGACCTAATCTTTTTCTACTCTTTGGGATTGTACCTGCAGAGTCAAAACTCTTAACCATGGCTTCATCTGGTCAAATATGTAGAAAGGGTTGTACACACAGTTGCATTGGTAAAATGGCGATGAACTTGGGGTGTTGTGTAGCCTGCTGTGTCCCAGCAGGAAGTGCTGTGGGATGACACTGAGCTGTAAGATCTCTTCTTTTACATCTAGGTTCGAGATGCAGCAATAAACAGCTTAGTGGAAATTTACAGACACGTAGGAGAACGTGTGAGGGCAGACCTCAGTAAAAAAGGATTGCCACAGTCCCGGTGAGTTCAGACTTTTTTCCCCCCTTCTTCTGCTCTTCGCCTTCCTCCTTTTCAGTTAACATTTTGGTTTGCACTACTTCTTTTGTTGTGATAATTTTTTTCATAGAATCTATGTTTAGTGGATTGGCGATGGGAGATCTTGTCCTGATCGTATGTCAGGGGTCCCTTCCCATTCCAATTCCTCAAAAGTCAGAAAGACTCTCTCACCAAGACAACTATCGATATATAGCCAAGCCCCAGGCCGTCCTCTGATTTTAGAAGCATACTGAAAATGGGTGGATTTTGAAAATTCACTGTTCTTTTGGTTCAGGTGGTTCTATATATTATATACAAATAGTGCCTAGTTATAGTTTGTGCTTAGAATATATTTGAGTGAGTGGAGCCTTTCTAAGAATGAGTTTGGTTTGGAAAGCATCTTTGAAATGGTAGTTTTCTGTTCAGTAATGCCAGCCTCGCCACGAAGTAACTGGGGGTCAGCATCTTATCAGACCCAAGGCCACTTGAGTGCACAGGTGTCTCTGCTGTGTCTGAATCTAAAAGTTAATGGAGAATTGGATGTTCGTAGTTTAAACTGTGATGCAGAAACCTTGCACCAAATGAATTCCAAACCCCTGCTCTGCCCATTCCTTTAGGGAGACAGTAATGTGAAAACCGTGGGAGTTAGAGGTGGACTGGACTCACAGAGCAGCTGGACAGAGCCTGTCCTCATGGCCACGGCAACAGCAGAGGCCCAGAGACATGCAGGAGCTCACAGCCAAGGCAGAGCTGGGCCCGAAGCTGTTCTCTGCCCCGCCTTTTCCTTCCTCATCCTGTTTGACACGAGTTTACAGAGCACTTAGACATGGGAAGGAATGTTGGATTATTTAGGGGGCTTGATGTCCCTTAATTGGATATGTCAGTGAGCCCCTCACCCTAAGGTAGGGGTTCTAGGAGAGTGGAGTATATAGCTGAGTGGGGCTATATTCTTTCTTGCTGAGTTACATCTGACCCAGTATTGCTCTCACTATGGGCCCTGAGCTGTGCACAAGACCATGGGATGGGCCTGTAACTACTCTTCAAGTGTTTTACAAAGGTAATCCCCGAGAATAGAGTTTTCATGCCCATGGTTTTATTAACCTCAGCCTTCTGGATTTTGAATGAATGATGGTGAGAGCAAAAGTTAAAGACAAAACTATTGAACGATCTCTTGGGCAACATTGGAGGGAGGGCACAGATGAACAGGCAGAGCAGGGGCTGGAAGGCAAGGGCTGTTTGATGATGTCATGATCATTGTTGGGAAAACAGCCTTAAGCAGTGAGACTCTTTCCTGCTCCAGTATGGTTCACCATGCTCTGCAGCTCACAGGGGCCGGGGCCCTGACCAGACTGGCAGTGTACACAGCGGGTCCCTGGGTGACGCTGGAAGGTGGCTGCGGTGAGATCTAGAGGTGGGCGCAGGAAGGAGCCGTCACAGGCTGGACGGCTGTCCGGAAATGCCTGCTTGCAGAGTTGGCCCTGGGCTCTCTGGAAACTTGTATTTGGGGAGGGTTCGCAGTGTCCCCAAAGAATGAGATAAGAGTGGCTCAGTGTGCCCTGCGGCGCAGGCCTTCGCTGAGCCCTTCTTTCCTTCAGGGAGTCTGACCCTTTGGGAAGTCCTGGGCGGAGGGTCTGTGTGACTAGCCCCAGTAAAACCTCCAGCCCTGAGGCTAAGGAGCAGCCCGCCTTTCCCAGGCTGTCCCCACCCGTTGCTGGGAGATGAGCCCTGTCCTGTGTGACTTCACCAGTGGCGGCTCTGGGCAGCTTGTGCCCGGTGCACCTGCTCCTCCCCCGCGCCCCTTTCCCATTGCTGGCTTTTCTCTGTGTGCTTTTACTATGGTTGTCCTGTAACAATCACAGCCGTGAGGATGACTATAGGGTGAGTTCTGTGATTGTGTTAGCAAGTGGTTCAATGTGGAAGGGGCCTAGGGGTCCCTTAGCACAGTGTGTTTTAGGGAAGGTCCCAGAGGCAGTGGAGGCCACAGCCCCAGGCCTGTGTGTCATGTGTGCTTCCTGCTAACCCTTAAAAAAATTTTTTTTTTTGAGATAGACACGTCAATCAGTTGCCTCTCATACACGCCCCGACTAGGGATCAAGCCTGTAACCTGGGTGTGTGCCCGACCAGGAATCAAACCCACCACCTTCTGATGTATAATATGAGGCAACACTCCAACCAACTGAGCCACAGCAGCCAGTGCCACATACTTTTAAAAAATATATAAAAAGCTACAGAAGTGCCGAAACCGGTTTGGCTCAGTGGATAGAGTGTCGCCTGCAAACTGAAGGGTCCCAGGTTAGATTCTGGTCAAGGGCATGTACTTTGGTTGCGAGCACATCCCCAGTGGGGGGTATACAGGAGGCAGCTGATCGATGATTCTCCCTCATCGATGTTTCTAACTCTCTGTCCCTCTCTCTTCCTCTCTGTAAAAAAATCAATAAAATATATTTAATTAAAAAAAAAAAGCTACAGAAGAGCTGGGCTTCTGTAAATAGGAATGGGGGTTTCTGCTACCTCATGTTATCTGAAAATTTCCCCCAAATTCTGAACCAGATGGAGAAGATGGTCCTGTTGAAATGGCCACACACGGTCGCAGCCGTTCTTGTAAATGCACAGTGCTCGGAAGACGAGGCTGGTGGTTCTTTCCAGTGAAAGAAGCTGAAACCAGGTTTCTTTGGATTTATTGCAAGGCAGTTACCTAAGGCCTCCACTGTGAGTGTCAGAGGTTCTGGTGTCCCTTCATTTTGTGGGGGACGTGTCCAGGCGGAAGGAGACTTGGAAAGAATCCTGCTGTTGTTTGGGAGAGTCAGTATCTGCTCTGTGCGGCTCAGATGGCTGGCTTGAATACTTGACTATTCTAGACCTCTGTTACATCATTATAGATTTTTTTTGTTATTATGTGAGCAGAGCAGATTTTTTAGCTTAGCAGGATTCCATAGGGCTAATAAAGTATTGTAGAATTTGCTTAATGCTTCCTAAAACTTGGGTTTTGTCCTAGAATGAAAACGTTGACCACCTATGCGTTTGTTCATTGAGAACTACATTGGAGAAGGTGGTTAACTATAACTCTGAAAAATACGTAATGAAAGAATGCCTTCATCCTGTCAGCTGAATAACTTCAATAAGAGCAAACTCATTTGAGCAGCAGTCTTCTTTGTGCATTTCACAGTGGAGAAATGCCTTGGAGGAGCTGCAATTATGTATTTGGGTCACGTGTTAAAAGCTATTTTAGCCTTGCTGTCTGGTGGCTAAAATAAAACTGAGCTGCAAAATAAAGCAGAGATTTCCAACCAAGTCTTCATGTTAGGTCTCTCCCCGGCACGGCATCTCAGCATTGCTGAGCTGTGAACTTCAGTTAGGATAGTCAATGGCCAATTTACATTGTTTAAAACATTATTTTCACAGTTCATGCACGTGATATGTGCAGAAAGTAAGTACCCAGTTTGTAGCTATTTGTAACATGCCATATAGTTGTGTGGTGTTTGTGTAGCATGCTGGGCAACCCAAGTCTAAGTGGATCCCTGTCACTCCTGCGGCTTACTTTCATAGACAGCCACGGCATTCCCTGTCCGTCCTCATGTTGAATATGACAACAATGTTTGCATTCGATGTGGTAGTGAGCTGTGGGTAAAAGACTGCTGTTGTTTGTCTCTGGAGCCATCGTTTGGGAACCAATTGCCTAAAACAGCAGCTGCTTTAGACCTGAAGATATTTAATTTGCAGAGGGAGCCATCCATGCCACCAGATGCGTTGTGACATGTGGTACACTCACTGCAAACCTCAGTTTTGAAAGGCTCTCATAATGTTTGTTTTGCTATTTCAATCTATTTAGAAATATACGGACATTTACCAGATATTATTACTTAATGATGGTATAGTTAAGGGAAAATGGAAACTTGCTTGCTGTAAATTTGCTTGCTAAAGCGTTTGTGCTGTGGAGAGGAGAAAAGCGGGGTGAGAGATGTGCTCGGCAGTATCTGCGCTCATTTCTGAGTTTTGGTGCTGCCGGTGACGTGTACCGAGAGCTGAGGAAGTGTATAAGACGGTGAAGAAAGCAGTTCTGTTCCCTCTGCCATTTTCCTGCAGAGGCAGACGCTGTCGCCTGGTTTATGGCTGCTGTTGTACCTATTGCTCTGTGTCTAAATACTGTGCATGTATTGCTAAAACTTTGTTTTTTCTCACATGAACTTTACTTTGCATCAGGGAGGGTACATTTCAGCTCCTTCTTTGTAACCTCTCTCATGTATAGCTGCCATGGCCACACCCACCAAACACAGTCATGCTTTAATTTTGGTTAGAACATTTAGTTTATATTATAGTTAAGTATGCCATGACTATTTATATTTGGTGAACTCGGATTACTTTACCCCCCCCCCCCCCATTCTTTTGTTTGTTTTGGGTTATTAATCATATTTCATGTGCAGAGTTGTCCACGTCGTATCCTGCAGGAGTGTGTGGATGTGCCCTCGAGCCTGTACCTGGCTGCCGGGCTGCCCCCTGCCTTCACCGCCTCATGCTACTGTCCTCCTGGCAGCTCTGCCAGCACACCTGGGCTTCACTTCTCCTTTCTCTGCAGAGGCATCTGCTGTTGGGGGGGGGGGGAAGCATGTCTTTTTTCTTCTTGGTTTTCTCTCTTATTTTAGTCATGCATATCCTCGATTCATTAGCTTTCTCAGAAAGGATGTGGAGGAGACTTTCTTTGAGTCTGAGAAGATCTTTATTCTATTTTCATATTGGTAGTTTGTCAGGGTTTAGAAATCTAGGTTGAAAGTCATTTTCACCCAGAATGTTAAAACTCATGTCCATGTATTCCAGCTTTTAGTGTTATTTCTACCCAGAAGTCCAAAGTCATTCTGATTCTTCAGTCTATCAAAATAGATAACTTTGATTTTCCTTGTCTCTAGAGTTTGTCTGAAACTTTATGGAGTCTCGTAGGGACTATTTTCATTGTCCGGAATGCTGGGAGGGCCTTTCAACTTGGAACCTTG